AACAAACAACAAACAACAAACAACAAACAACAACCAACAACCAACAACCAACAACCACAACAACAACAACAACAACAACCACAACAACAACAACAACAACCACAACAACAACAACAACAACAACAACAAGCAAGCATAATGATGGCGTTTGTACTACTAATGGTCTGAAGCTTGTTCTCCTGTCAGTGGACAGCAGCACACGTGCCAGCACCAAAACAAAAAAGGCAGGAAGCAGAACAATGCCTGCGTTGATAGGATTGGGGCGTAATCTAGGAGCCGAGGATAACTCTTCAGGGACTATACTATACGAGGGAATGACAGTACCCAAAGCCTCTAAGACCCTGTAGACATCCCTAAACCCTAATTAGACCTTAAAACCCTGAACCCCTAAACCCTAAACCCTGAGCCCTAGACCCTAAAGAGCCCTAAGACGAAGGAAAGGAGCTCCAAAGACCAGCGTCAGCAAGGAGCCCACGAAGATGATCGCCGTCGCGGGGTAGGCCTCGACCCCAAAAGCCCTAAACCCCAAATCCTTAAACCATAAGCCTTAGACCTTTTTCCCTGAACCCCAAACCCTGAACTCCTTAAACCAACCCTTTCATATAGTAATATGGGTGGAGTCGATACTCAAGTGGACATTAGGATAAGGTTCTGTATGTTATACGATAGTGAAACAAACCCCGTAGCATACAAATACAGGGTGCCACAAAAAAAAAGAAAAGGGTTTTGGGGTATATTCTGCTATAGTTCTAAGGCACGATAGTACTTTACGATGTAGAAAAAAACTCCCCTCTAACTTGGATCAGGCTTCCCCTAACCGTAACCCTTAATTACCGCATAAACACGGCACACCGTTCCCCTCCAAAGCCAGGGCATCTGAGCCCTGAAACCTGAGCCTAAGCCCCACACCCAAAATCGGGTCCTAAACTCTTAGCGAAGAGAGTAGTCGCGCGCCTCGATCACCGGCACTGCGATTCGGCCCCAGCTGTCACCAGCGATCACGGTCCTTGCTTTTCTAAGCCGATGGTGGAGTTGAGGCTTTTCCGCTTTTTGTTGTGGCTTGAGCTTCCGGATGCAGATGTGGGTTTAGTGTTCAGGAGTTCAGGGTTCTTGGTCTGGTGTCTATGTGTCACTCCCTTTTTTCAATGTGTCGAGTTTAAAGTCAGGCACCTCAACCCTCGACCTTGCAACCTGTCAGCCGACATTTTCGGACAGTCGCAATCCCAGCTCTCCCCAACCCGGATGCCTTTCTTGGCCAGAAGGGGTTCAGGGCTTTAGTGACATACTACAGGTAATCGGAAGGCCTGAACCTTGTCTATTGCCAAGCGGCAGTTCATAAGTTTAGCCTCCACCCTAAATAGTCTACTCGCCAAGGAACTATACAAGGACATCACAAAACGATAACCGAAAGAGTCAGGTTGGCTCAGGTAGGGCTGAGGATTTGCCTTCAAGCATTTTGCCACTGCCTCGGTGATGGCAGCTGCGAGTTTGGGGCAGAGGCTTCATGTGGGCCCCCGGTTTATATTGGGCCTACATTGCAGCTTCCAGTGCTTCGAGCTGGTGAGGCCTGCGGTTCGCCTGATTCAAACTAGGGAGATCAGGGTGGCCCAAAAAGCTACAGAAACCCATAGACGCGCAAATTGCACGACAAGCCCCTTGCACTGAATCCTCGAGCCTCTGCAACACCCCATTCGAATGCAAGGCAGGCTCTTGAAAAGCAACAAGTTCGCATCCATCACCTGAGTCGGTGATTTAGGGGCCCTGGACAATTCGAACCAGGCTTTGGGGCATGCTATGCCAGAGCAAAAGAATGCTAGAATAAAAAGAGTCCTATAGGAATTCCAGGAAACTGGGGGTTTAGATTCACCGCCGGGGCCTGCCTGCATCTGAAGGTATGGCCCCGAGGGCCCGAGGTTTCAAAGGATTTAGGGATTTTTGGGTTTCAGGTTTAGGGTTTTCAGGGTTTCGGCGCTCTCACTCGCACACTCCAGGCGAGGCATGTGGTTCGAGGTTCGCTGAGAAGTGGTTTTTGAGGTCTAGGGCCTAGGGCCAAAGTTACAATTGAGATCCGAGCTTTGAGCTTGAGCTTCCGTTGGCGTTTAGAAGGTTGAGGATGCGGAGTTCCGAATTCAGTCTTGGTGCATGTGTAGGGTTTCGGGCTTAATTTGGGATGAAGGCAATCGCAAACTCTTTTGCGGGCATCTTGGCATCGCCAAGCTCAGATAAACAGATAGGATGCTTGCCCCGAATTCTCTGGCAAAGCCACTCCCCCATTGCGATGTTCTTTATGAGTTGACCTTTGGGGCGCATAGTTTCCGAGCCTCTCATAAATGACAAGAATAAGAAAATACCATTGCCCGCTGCCACCCTCTTGGTTCGCAAAGGGGTTAGGCCCGACTCTGGAACACAATTCAGTTCGGTCAGGACCAGGCCAGCCTGGAACGGCGGCAGGCGACCCCTAAATCTGATGAGCGAGGGCAACAACATGCCACCTGACCGATACACGGGGACCCGCCTCTCAACCGTACGAGTAATACCTTTACCAACATCCTTTGGTTCTCAAAGCTGCAAGCTTCCAAAGGCTTGTAGGTGCCCATGTCAGTCTGCCCTGCAATTAGCGACCGGGGTTTGTCGGAGATTCTTGGAATTCCCCTCGGTGCCATGGCGGGGAACGGCGACCATTTAGCAATATCAGCGGCACGAATCTTACAGGCAAAGGCCAGGGTAAGCACGTTGATGCACAAACTCTTGGGCCAGCAGATACTTATGCGACTGATAATGACATTGAAAAACAATTTTGGGTGCGTCTGAAAGGTTGCGGCTACAGCAATGCACCATCCACGGGTGCAGGTATAACACCACATGATGTGCGATGCTCATCACACCTGCAACCCAAAACACATTCCAAAATCCTAATGAACTCTTCTGCAGAAGTTTACCAGTTCAGCATGGTCAGAAACATGATGGATTTAAGTTCCAGGGGGCTCAATAGCCTCCGGAAACCCTGAACCCGAAATCCGAGGTGGCTCTGAGCTCTCTATGCCGACGTCTCCGTGGGCTCCAGAGTCACGAACTTCGGTGTGGCATCCTTCGCAACTGTGCCGTGGAAGTAGCAGCGGATGAACTCTAAGATGACAAGATTCACTGTCCAGCAAAGCCATGCGATGGCACCGTACACAGGCTGGAATTCCGTGAGAATCGCAACGGGAAGCATGATCCGCAGAGACACTGCTGAGTATGCCAGGGCGCAGCTGATTTGCATGGCCCGCTCATGGACCGGTACAGATCGAATCTTGGGGAATGCAATCGCTGCAAAGCCGATCACATTGCTCAGAGTCCATGCTACGGAAAGGCACATAAAGCCCACTTGCCCAACGACGCCTCCCTGGGCTTTCAAGGCTACCATCCCGCCTGTGACAGAGCCGATCGTGCCGCACACAAAGTACACACGGCCAGCCCAGCGATGTCCAAACATATGCGTTCGGCGAAAAGATGGGATCACCTGGAACGGACCAATTGCTAGTGCGGTTGCCGAGGTCAATGCATGGAGGTAGATCGATGCCTTCTCGGTTAGGAAGGCAGCTTCCATGTCCGGATGAACCGCGCGACCCAAGGGGATCAGCCATTCTGTGAGAGCCCCGTAGACGGCCCAGGAGTAAAGTGCGATGAGCACGGCGCCACCCACGAAGAGGCCGTTCAACGCGCGATATGCCATGAGCCCGTTCGAAGCGAGTTGCAGGAGCGCAGGAGAAGAAAAAGACCTGCGGATTGCTCCAACGGAAGCTCCGATCCGTCGAACAATTGACATGCAAAACAAAACCCCAAATTTGCCAAACCCGTTTGCACCTTCTGACATCCTCTGGCCCATGAACCTACGCAACGCCGAATCCCTTTTTGAAGCCGGACTTGATGACTGCCAGCATGGCCTCTTCTGCCGCTCCGAATGGCTAGATCCCGAACCTCCAAAAACTCAAATTCCTTGATTGTTGGGCGAAAGTTGTCTGCAACAGGCTTAGGCGGGTTCGGACCCAAACGCAGAACGGCCAAAGCTGCCTTAAAACCCTATAAGACCTGGACCATGGGAACCCAACGTCCTCACAGCTTCTATATAGAATCCGTCATTATCCTCTCACAACAAACCCTAAGCCTGAAGATCTGAGTTTGAAGCCCCAAAAAGCCTAGAGCCTTTAGACGTGAGCCCCCCCTAAGAGCAGCTAGACCTTAGAGTCTGAACGCTAAACTCGAACCCCCAAAACCTAGAGTTCAGAACCCCAAAAACTCTGAGCTACATGGGTGGTTGTCAAAATCATGGTCCCTCTTTGGGTCCTTATTACAATACGGCACCTATTATTTCGGGTACCCCGAAAGGGACCATAATTTTGACAACTACCCACCTAGCAAAAGGAAGCAAAGTCCGAGGACTTGGCCGATGCGGCAGCTCGGAGACATTGCCTGGGCTCTTGTTCAGGGTTTAGGGTTTAGGGTTTAGGGTTTAGGGATTCAGGACTAGGGTTTTTCCCTTTCCTACTTAGCCAGGACGAGCGATTAATGTAGGGGCGTTAATGATAAGAACACGCTTTTGGGGTCCTTTGTACTAGAATTTTCATAAGGAAACACCAGAATAATATAGGCAATCATTGAGGCCCCTATATTGGGGTTTGGGGCTTGGGGTTTAGAGGAGCTTCATCGAAGTGACCAAAAATGGGGATTCATGGCAAAGAATAGCTGCCACAAAGGGGGTATTTATAGTAAATTGTAGGGTTTCCGTGCCATAGTAAGGATTGATTCTGGTACCTCAGTACTATAATCAGTTCTTATTATGGCACGGAAACCCTATTATTTTTTGTACATAGCCCCTTGTCAATATGGCTTTCTGTTATGGTACCCTCCCTAAACCCAAGGACCTGAAGAGCCCAGTTGCTCGCAGTCGCCAAACTCACCAGCTTTTCCGAGTTCCGTGATGAGCCTCGTTGACATATGGGTAGTTCTCGAACATAGGGTCCCTAATATAGCAAGGCACCCTGATGAAAAGGACCCCAAAAGGGACCCTAATGTAGAGAACTACCCATATACATAGGCTTCCCCTTTTACTAGAACCCTAAAGTGTAAGGTGGGGCTGGTGGGGTTTAGGATTTCGAGGGGGGCTTTGTAGGGATGAGCCTCGGATGTTCAACTGTCTTGTGGTTTTTGGGGTCGGCTCGTGGTTCAGGTTTAAGGCGTGGCGGGGCTAGGGGGATTTGGGGGGTTTCCGAAGACAGGGGGCCCTAACATAGTACCCTAAATAGTAGGGTCCTTATTACAAGGCCCCCAAGATAAGGTAGCCCTTATTTCCGGAAACTCCTACTTAAGGTTTCTTTTCTGGAGCTTGCGAGGTTTCGGTGGCTGGGGTTCGAACCTAGCGTCCAGGATCAGGTTTCGAAGACAAGAAAGGTGGCAGCAGAAGAGTTTTTGGAGAGGCTTTATGGGTAGTTTTCTAGATTAGGATCCTTTTTTAGGTACCCACTATATTACGGCACCCTCATAAAAAGGACCCTTAAAAGGGACCCTAATTTAGAGAACTAGCCTTATGATCAATTCGCGTTTTAGGGCAGAAGGGCCCTGTCGCAGGGATCGAGGCATTGGAGCGTCTTTCCCAAGTCTCCCGGCGTTTTGGGTCCAGAGAAACACCGGCAGGCACTACCATGAAAGTAATGTAGGGGCCGTAATAATTAGAATAAGGTTTTGGGCTCCTTTGTAGTGTAAATATAATTAGGAACCTAAGGAACAATAGGTAACTATTTAGGCTTCTATAATATGCAGCCCATTGTCACAAAGCCGTGACATCTCTGAAATTGGACCGTGTCACGGCTGCACCAGGTCCACCATGAGCATAGCCCAAATGGTCCTTGTCGGGGCCGTAATAATGAGAATAGGGTATTGGGGTATGTTGTACTACAAATATAAGAAGGAACCCCCAGAATAGTATAGGTAAATATTCAGGCCCCCATATCAGGCAAATATCCTGGGAGGTACAGGTGCAAGTGTCTATGGAACCCGGCGCTGCTCCGAAAACTGGTCCAAGAAGAAAGCCTAAGCAGACCTCGACATGTTTGCAAAATTCTTCCGCATGAAATTCAAGCCCTGTTGTGATCCAGGACCCGGGACAGACGCCTGGAAGTGAGATTCCCAAACTCCTTTTTGCAAAAACACTACACTCACTGCACTCCCCAAACTCCAAACAAACCAGGGTAGGGCACATTACCATGAAGCAGAACATGAACGACCAGCACAACGTTCGCATGCAGGAGGTGGCCATGGACAGCAGCTTCCGAAGCCTGGAACAGTCGGCTTGAACGTAGAGGCCCGAAGGCCCAGAATTGCCAGCGCTTTGGGGCGTGCGCGCGTGTGCGTGAGTATGTGTGTGTGTGTGTGCTTGCGGATGCATGTCTGGCTGTATGATGTATCGATGTATGTATGCATGTATGTATGTCTGCATGTGTGCTGTATGCAGCTATGCATGTATGTATCCGTATACCGGGCAAACATATGGGGAGCAAAGGGGGGCACTATTGCCAACAATGCGGCTTGAGCGAGTGCGCTCCTAATCCAGATACTGAACCTGATGCACACCTTCAATCCTAAACACTGAAGGTATAGATCAGGTATGGTCAGAAACCCTGCAGAATAATGTCTGTAAATATTCAAGCCTCTATACTATATCCTACCAGCGCCGCGACTTGTAAGACCAATTCAGTACTGCATGCAAGTCTTTCAGTAAGCTTTCTTGTGCATCCCGAATGCTTTCGCGAATCGCACGGCCGCGAGATACATCGCGCATGGTCGAAAAGCATGTCTGCAGAGTTTGCAGGAAGGGCACATTAGGACCATTAGGACATATACAGGGCTATGGGCTGTATTGGGCTTCAGGGAGCTCAATTTTACTTCGCGGTTTACATGTTATAGGATGTACGGCTCCAGGGATCGTTAGGAGTTTGGATCCGACAAGGATGTCCCAAAACAGGAACCAGAATGGAGACCATAGGCAAGCCAGAATCGTTCCGAGCCGCTCTTTCAGGTAGCTGAAGCGTCGGAAGAGCTTCAGCAAACCTTCCCACGGCATGTCAGGACCGGCGAAACGAAGCCAGAATTGGCCGTTCTCAAAAAAAGCACAACACTGGGGTTTTAGGCCTTCGAGTTTCGGAACTCCACACTTCCTCTTGAGCGTGGCATCGCGTAGGCACTTACTTCAGCCCTCGACACGAACTCCTAAACTGAAGGAACATGCTCCGGAGACCTCACGGGCTATGAGGTAGGACATATTATATCTAGGGATGCATGGCAAATTCGGTAAATAACCATATGTAACATCCTGTTGCGAATGATTCTAACACCAAACTGCCCTGAAAGCCCTGAAAACCCCTAAACCCCACGAACCCCGAGAACCCATAGCCTCCAAACTCTAGACGTTCAACCCCGGAACCCCAGCCGCAGACCCAACCTGAGCCATGAGAAGCCTACCGTTTTAGGCTCCTTAATATGGTGTCCTTAAAAATGTTCTTCACATGTGGTGGGCTATTTGGGGTTATGAGGGTTCCTATAGTATGATTTCCTGATAGAAGTCCTTGACATATGGTAGGTTATTTGGGGCTAAGGTACGCCCTGAACCCTATGTCTCAACTTTGTGCAGAGCGTCGGGCAATGCGAGCTATGCGCATTACGCGGAGCAGGCTGAAGTTCTCAACCTGAGCGACGGAGGGTTTAGGGTTACAGGGGAGACTCAACAGATTCAACAAAGGCCAACTAAGTTTAGGGGCTAAGCCCTAAACCCTAAACCCTAAACCGTAAACCCTAAATCCTAAACCGTAAACCCTAAACCCTTAAACCCTAAACCCCTAAACCCTAAACCCCAAACCCTAGGGTCTTAGGGACTTACGGTCGTCAGGGTGCTTAAAGTGTCAACAGGGTCTCACAGCTTCGGGCTTTAGGGCTTCGGCTCAAGCGGTTAAGACTCATGGCGTTGAGGCCGTCATGGTGGTTTCCAAGGTGTTTTATGGGTAGTTCTCTAGACTCGGGTCCCTTTTAGGGTACTTTTTTTATAAGCGTGCCGTACTATATATTGGGACCTAGAAAGGGAGCGTAATTTAGAGAACTACCCATATGGCCTGGAAGAAGTTTGCAAAGGCCTTTGGGTTTATAGGACTCGTCAGCACTGTAGGGCTGTAGGGAGGGCAGTAGGGTAAGGATGTGTAGAGCTCGAGGGTTGTCAGGATGTTCCAAATCACCCTAAATCCAGAACCCTTAACCCAAACTTCATGCTCATGTTCTGTGCAACCGAGGGTGCGAAGACATTGCCCCTGGCCTCCGACATCACGACCTCCGCCTGCTGAGGGTTTGAAGCAATTTAGAGCTTACAGGGATGTCGGAGAGTGTCTGTTTTGAGGCTGCTGAGAATTAGCCGACTCGACTTTTGGGGGCCAGGAGACGTGTGCTACTGCTAGGTGCTGGCAAAACGATCCGAACGACGACAACTTGGAAGAACCAGCAGGAACGATAATCAGCCGAAACGTAACCATCCAAACATAGTCAGCACGGCACCTAGCGAGAAAGGGGAGTACACGTAAAAATAGCATGGCATGGAGTTGCTCCGTATACCAGAACAGTAAATATAGCAGCCGTCGTCGTCGTGAGAGGAAGGTTCATGAGTTTGATGATCGCGCTTATCACTTGCCACAAGGAGACAGAGAGACAGAGAGAGAGAGAGAGAGCCAGCAGCCAGAGCAAGAACTACGGACAATGAAAGGAGGACAGAGCGAGCCACAAAACTACAAACACCTTCAGGAGATGTGTCCCCCTGACTTGGCTTGTTTACAAGACACAACGGCCAAATTCCTTGATGCAAACTAACGACCGAACACTAAATTCAAACCCTGACTCCTATGTACTTCCTAAGCCCCAACATAAACCCCGAATCCTACACCCTAAATTAAACCCCGGCTCCTATCTACTTCCTAAGTCGCAGCATGAAGCACCAGACTTCCAACTCTGGAGCAAGCTGCGAGGCCGCAAACGATGATGAACAGGTCGACCCTGATGAGGATTCGGGCCGGGTGTGGGGTTATTGTTGCCTTTTTGAGGGCAGGGGGACGGTTAGGGTGTAAGGCTTCGAGATTAGAGGGCTTAAGGTTTAGAGCTCACCGGGCAAACGAGGCATAAAGCAGCACCCGCTACTCAAAGCACGAGGGGCCTTAGCAACTATGGCTCTAAGTTATAAGCCCTCACGAGCTCTCCCTGAAGGATCACGGGACTTCGTAGTTATGGGAATAGCCACATTGCAATCGATCATAACCCTGCTTGCTCAGTCGCCGGATCCTGCAAGGTTCCCAAGGATGGGATGCATACTAAGAACACTCACAAGAGCCCTTTGTGTCTTAATCCAGTTTCGACATCAATCTAAGCACCTAATACAGGGGCCTTAGTAATAAGGAACCCCCAGAAGAGTATTGGTAATTATTGAGGCCCCTACGTTACGCACTAGCCAGGTCATACTCGTAAGTCAAACCGGATGAGGAGCCTGGAGGAGTAACAGTTACTCACTAATGTAGAGCCTTTATCATTAGAACAGGGCTTGGGGGGTATATTATACTATAACTAGAAAAAGGAACCACCAAGATAGTATAATAGGTAACTGGTAACTATCTAGGCCCCTATATTACCCTCTCTCTCTCGATGTGCGGGCAAAAGACCAGCACAAAACCATGCACAAGTAGGCAATTCAGGCCCTGTCTTGTCCAGTACAGGGTCGGGTTGATGTGAGACCTTCCGAGCGGGTTTTCCGGGGCAGTCCCCTAGAACATGTTGCCCAAGACGGCACGAAGCCGACTTCACAAAGAAGTTAGAAAAGCTTAAGCATCTGCAGCTGAGGGACACCAACATTCCGTCCCGAAGAACCTTCAGCCGCTTCACGTAGCACCACATCGCGTACTCCACACCGTACCTTGGCTAATTACCTATACTATCTTGGTAGTTCCTCATAATAGTTATAGTATACTGTACCCGCCAAACCCTATTCTAATTATGGGAGACAGTTTTCGAGCAAAGAGCCGACCCCGGCAAGCGGAAGTTGGAAATGGGCCCTGGGATACCAGGATTCTATGTAAACTCTTTAAATAAGAGGGCAGTGTGGGTATCCCGAAAAAGGCTTAACATCCGAGACCAAGAACCCTAACTCCCTCCCTCCCACCACCCTTAAACTCGACACTTTTTTCTCTCGGCTCGGGCGGTGCTCAGAGAATCCGACGGCGCTTCATCCTCGTAGGGCGGGGCCATCTGTCCTCCTCCGGCTCCTCCTCCTTCAAGCGGTGCTGCGAAGAGATCAGGGTGCGGAGAGTCGAGGATTTAGGGATATGGGTTGTTGCCGCGATATGGGTAGTTCTCTTTAGTCAGGATCCGTTTGACCCTAAATGGGCCCTCATTTAGTATATTTGGAGAACTACCCTGTTGGTGTAGCTATCTGAGTAGCGGACTGTCACATGAGATCGCGGCAATGGCTTGCGGTGTAGCGCTAGGAAACAGCCGTTTGACTCGGTGTTCAGCGCTGTCACGGCTTCAGCGGCCCGAAGGATACTTCAGGAACTGAAAAGACTAGAAAATCCAGTCGAAAGCCTAGGGAACTCCAAAAATCCTTTATTCTCTCGCCTAGACTGCCATATAATCTGAAAGTAAAATCAGTAGAACTCTCACAAATATAGCCGTCTGTGGTCTTCTTATTACCCAACGATAAATCCAAAGCGGGGGGTAGTTGCTACTCTGCTTCTCCACAGCCTCCTCTTCTTCGCCATCCTCTTCTGGGTCCACCTCCGCTCCTTCCTCCTCTTCGCTTTCCTGGAGGGGTTGAGGGTTAGGGTGCTATACGGTTTAGGGTTTCGGGATAGCAGAATCAAACCCAAAGGCACATCCTCAGGATAAGGCTTCGGATTTCGGGATCTTTGGGCTCTGGGCCACCCTGCAACTCGCCTCCAGCAGCCCGTTCTCTCCGCAGAAGTGCTTGCACCTGCGCTGGATCTCCTTGAGCCCCTGGCACCGCAGAGTTGGGTGAAGCTTCAGGCTTAGGCTTCTGCGTCGGGAAGGAGTCGAGGTTTCTCTTCAGCGCTTCTAGGTGGGTATGAAAAGATGCAGCTTGGCATGTTGAGGAGTATTGAAGCGCAAAGTTGAGTTGCGACTCCAACAACACACGGCGGGAGTGGCGGTGGTCGCCTTGCTGGCAGCTGCACCAACGGTTTTCGCGGCTACTGCTCTCCTGCTTTTGCTGCTACGACCACTACCACTACCACAACCACACTCACCACTACGACACCAACACTACGACCGCGACCGCGACTACGATGACGACGACTACCTACTACTACTACTACTACTACTACTACTACTACTACTACTGCGAATACGACTATGACTACGACTACTACTGGTATG